AACATTATTAACATATAAGTGACTCTATTAATCACTGCCAACCATCTGTACACATTCACACAGCAGCATATAAACAGCACACATATACACACATACACATAGATTCATATTTACCTCTCCATATAGATTGCATATGTGCATGTGTGTTTAAGCACGGCAGAAGCTTTAACACACAGGTGTATGTACCTTTATACCTATTTATCTCAAGAGTTCAAACTAGGATCAGTGCAATACACCTGAAGTTACTCATCTCAGGAGGTCTGAGAGGAAAACGAAGGGAATCATGGACAGATACACAGTCACTAAGAGTGACAGAAGGCCTTTGGGACCCCTGTTGCGCTACCACAACACCAAGACAGATTCATCAGCTTAGCACTACAGGAAAATACGACAGCAGAACGCAAAGCTCTCTCACCCAGCAGGGACTCCGTCAGATGATCCTTTAGGAGGGAGAAATGCAACGCAGATGAAGTATTAAGCTAACCACCACAAAACCTCTTTAAATAAATGTATTTGGGTGAAACTCATTGAATACACACATTCAATCTCACTTTACACTCCGACACAAACAGCCAGATTATATTTGTATACTGACTGATGGGTGATAATAGGTAACTGGCAAGACTGCATTGCTTTGCTGTTGGAAAAGGAATGGATTTGCAAACAAAAGGGGACGTTTTCCTGAGGCTACAACAACATCATACAAGCCGTTTTGTCTGATAAAAGGTAAAAATAGGGTAAAACCAGACTATAAATTACCCAGGAATAAGTTCAAATAATTAAAAAATAATAATATAAAAATAATAAATAATTAAATTGGGTATATGAGTATGTATCAAAGAGCAAAGTGAACAAAGACAAGAGACAAACACAGACATATTTTGATAGAGTTGATCAATCGCATTTGCTGAAACTGATTTAATTATTATTATATATTATACAATCACAACCTACACCACTGTTCAAAACTTATGTGGCTGGTTGGTTTTTTAAACATTTTTGAAACATCTTATGCTGACTAAAGCTGCATTTATTTTGTAAAAAAAAATA